ATTAAAGATATATATATCTTTAATTGTCCGTAAGGTACCAGGATCTTTCCTCGACTGACTTTGCGCTCATTGAGAGTCTCGGTTATATACGCGTGCATCAAAGTTGCCGCCGAATCTAATAATAATCACTATCAACAACCGATAGCTAACATAATAGTCCTTTTATATAATATGCCGACGACGAAAACAACTCGCGCGTAGGCTTTCGTGCGGCGTTTGTATTTTTTTTCAAAAAAAAATCCTACAATATATAGATATATACAATATATATTTGTTGAGATACTTCTGAAACATCTTGTATATAAAAATTAATAAAAAATTTATAATTGTTTACCTTGTCTATTTCCAAATGTACACTAACATCCAGTGTGCCACCAATATCTATTAATGGCAAAATATCAAATTGCGTCATTACAGGGATTGAACCGATTAGCACTAATCGTGAACTTAACCATTCTTTTTCCTAAAATATATGATATGTTAATGATATACATACAAGGTAATTCTTGTAAGCGTACTCATTAAATATTTGGGAAAGGACGCATTTTCGTCAAAAATGTTTTAAATAAAATTTTTTTAGCCTTGAAGGGGCCATTAAAAACTGCTTTATTTGTTTGATCTTTGGAAAAGCATTAAGGTTATACCAAGGTCACCACCTTGGTTTCCTTAAATGAAAACTATACTTTTTATGATATATTTTTGCAGCGGATATCGAGATGTTTTCGAAACACTGGTTACAAACTTTTTGATGAAAACTTCCTGAGTTATGAGTTCTCAAAGTTTAAGTACCATCGCATTACTTAAAATATACCACGCAAAGGTTGCCCGATTAAGGCAAAAAGGAAGAAAACATTTCTAAAGGAATAAATACTTGGAGGCAGTGATAAAATCGTCTTATGTTGTTTTTTTGTTGTCAGCACTCTCTTCCTTTCTGCCCGTACGGTAACGTTGAAAACAATTGTGGCGAACACAATTGTGGCGAACACTGTCCATCATAAGAACACGCTGCACTCAACAGTCTACCCCACGCGGCAAGCTGAACGCAGTTCCCGCATCTATCGCTTTTAGATTTTTTTATGAGAAACGATAAAGAATATTATTTTCGTAAAAGAACCGACGACTAGAGAAGACATAATTGAACGAATCATTCCCAGCAAACCATATAATGTATCATATCTGTAATATTACAAGTAATATTATATGTACAGGTAAAAGATACATTCATGTATAGCTCTATGTTAGCAACTTTAGACATTACATATATGTATCAGATCTTTATATTATGTGATGTAACATGTACATATACAGAGTCCACCACCAAAATCCGGACAAATTTAAATTTGAATTTCCTGTTTTATTTGACTTCGGCGGTAAGTCGTTATTGACGTTCAGGTAAGTCAGATGTTTGTAGTAAACGCGCCTGACTTCAAAATGTCCGAGCAGATAAGATCGAGTGCGGAGTATAACCGAAGAGCGGCGATAATAGAAGGCCTTCGCGCTGGGCGTTCGCAAACCGAAATTATTCGGTTTTTCGGATACCCGAGATCGACCGTATATGACGTTGCGGCTAAATATTTGGCTTCGGAGACATCCGAAAAAGGTTCTGCAAATCCGACGAGAAAGAGCCATTCGAAAGAAAAGTCGGTAAGGACTCCAGCAATTATCGAAAAGGCTCAAGAGCTCATCTCAGAAGACCCAGGGCTGTCTCTGACGAAATTGGCAATAACATTAGGTGTGAGTAACACTACAATGCGTTGAATTGCTGAAGAGGACCTACGTTTCAAGTCCTATGTCATAAAAGTTCGACAAATGCTCTCTCAGACACTCAAGATGAACAGAGTTGCTCGCAGTAATTTGCTTCTGTGTTCTTTGAAAAACGAAGCTGCGGGACGCATGAAGTTTTTTTCGGGCGAGAAAATTTTTTCTGTCGATGCCAAGGTGAACCGGAGGAATGACCGTTGGCTCGCCCACGACCCCGACGATCTCCCCATAGCTAGGACGAAGTTTCCAGCCTCTGTTCACGGCGTCATCTCCAGTGAGGGTCACGTCATGCCGCCCATTTCTTTCAAAAGAACGAAACCATCACAAAAGAGGTTTATTTACGCGTTTTAATGAAAGTAGTGAAGCCGTGGATAGATACAGTGACCGCCGGGAGACCGTACGTCTTCCAGTAGGACGGCGTGCCGGCGCACACGAGTCACTTAGTTCAAAACTGGCTGTCGGATAATATGGACATGTTTCGGTCCAAGGAATTTTGGCCTCCCAACAGTCCAGATTTGAATCCGTTGGATTACTACGTGTGGAGCGTCATTGAACGAGTGACCAACAAGTCGAGACATCCCAACATAACATCTCTCCAGGCCGCTATCGAGGCGGCATTCGCCAATATGGACAAGGACGTGTTGCAGAGAGCGTGCCAGCGCTTTAGGATGAGGATCGAAGCAATCATCGAAGCAAAAGGGGATTATATAGAGTAATTTTACTCTAAAAGGATACCACTAGTGATGTACAAAAATTTTTTTTGTAATTTTTACATTCTGACGAATAGAATGTTGTTTAAACATATTGTTCATTTTGTCCGGATTTTGGTGGCGGACCCTGCATTTTACATATCTTAATATTGAACAATATAACATATACGTATATCATATATATTTTTAAACAAGTTTGTAATATGTATGCTACACCTTTATTATAATATACAGTTTTCGGAATTAGCTTGAGTGCCTTTAATAACCTAGATGGTTATTTAGCATAAAACGTCCTTGTTCTTGTTGAACTCTCTTGATATTATCAAACAATTTCTTGACGGACTTGTACGTAAATCTCAATCAAAGGACTATCAATTTTTTCTTTTTGATCAATTGCTATACACAAAATGGCCACTGATTGCCAAACTCTCGTGTCCGAGTATAACAGAATTAGGGCAAGTACGAACACTACGAGAATAAAAGTGAAGATGGCTGATTCAATGAGTATAATGACACGTGACTCGCGCATACGCGTTGCGAAACAAAATATTATATTGGTTACGTATCTGTAATAACATTACAAAGACGTATTTGTAAGATAACATTTGTGATATTATTAAGAAATACAGAATGTTACATAAGTGATATGTATCAAGAGTAATATAATACATACGCCATATTACTATTTAAGAGAAATGTTATAAGTTATATACATAATTATAGAAATATTACTTTGTTCTCTAAATGTGCTCTTGGAATTATGTAACAGATACATATTGGTTTGCTGGGTTAATGCTTGCAGACTAATTTTTAGGAACGTCTTGAGATACCAATCGTCGTTAAATACCAATCGTAAATTTGAAAAATGATTGCATCATTGCCTTGAGGTAGAAAGGAATGTTTTCGAATATTTGAGAAATTAAAAATCTTTAAAAAATTTAATTAAATTTATGCTCTGCGCACGCATGCACGCACATATATGAGGTGTAAATTAGGCAACCTCCGCGTAGTACACCTTGAGTAATACTAAAACCGGTAATACTTAAATTTTGTGGACTCATAACTCGGGAAATACTCATCGAAAAAAGATTTGTAACTAGTGTTTCGAAAACGTCTCGATATCTACAGCTACAAAAATATGTCACAAGAAAATATAGGTTTCCATTTAAGAAAATTAACCTTAGCGTAACTTTAACACCTTCTTCCAAGGTCAAACAAACAGTAGTTTTTAATGGCCCCCTCAGGGCCAAACAAATTTTATCTGAAACATTTTTCACGGAAATGCGTCCTTTCCAAGATATTCAATGAATACATTCACGAGAATCACTCTGTATACAGACTAAATATAAATATTGATAAAGATATCCAATTACAAGCAATAACATAAAGTTAAATTTCATTGCTTCAATAGTACAAGATATACATTACCGTCCAAAAGTTTGGGCGCAATTTAAAATTGCTAAGTCTCATATATTTCAAAAGTAATTTAAGCGATGCTAGTATAATTTTCGTGTAAAAGAATAACAATAAAACTGCTTTTTAATATATTACATTTAATTAGAGAAAACCCAAAAAGGAATCATAGTTTATTAATGTCTATCTTGGTTCTGGCATCCAAAAATAGATCTAAATGTAGCTCTTCTTTTACACTTTTTTATATCTATACCGTCCGACTTTGACGAATATTGTTCCACCATACGCAAAATTTAAACATATAGTGCATTAAACATTGCATTAAATGCTATCTCTGATGCCTCTAAATTTTTGGCCATATTATATGTATAACGTAATTTAGTATTATATTTCTTAATTTTAAAGTCTAAAAACTTATTTGTGGTATTTTCTTTAATATTTTGGTAAATATTACCTGTAAGAGATAGGTAGCTGAAAATGTCTCTGCGTGTTTAACACGAACCAATTGATGTCTTGGCATACATGAATTATCAGTCTCATGTTCCTCATTTCTCCGATAAAATATTTTGTTATAAGATCTACTAATATTGTTCCCTTTATAATACCATTTATATTCATTAATATTTAATTCCCTTGCTGAATTAAGACTCAATGCAGTATCGGTGGATTCTCTCATAAAAGATTTATTAGTCAATCTAATTGGACATTCTGAAATAGTAATTCCTTTATTTACTCCACTTTATCTTCGTTGATATACAGGGTGACAGAAACAACCTAATGTCCTAGAAATGTCATATTCTTGAACGATTTCTAAGACGATTTTTCCTTTTACAATGCGTGTTTAACACGAACCAATTGATGTCTTGGCATACATGAATTATCAGTCTCATGTTCCTCATTTCTCCGATAAAATATTTTGTTATAAGATCTACTAATATTGTTCCCTTTATAATACCATTTATATTCATTAATATTTAATTCCCTTGCTGAATTAAGACTCAATGCAGTATCGGTGGATTCTCTCATAAAAGATTTATTAGTCAATCTAATTCTTTATTTACTCCACTTTATCTTCGTTGATATACAATTTTATTTGAAGCTTAATTTTTGAGTTATAATTGAAAATAGTTCGCTACGCATGCACGCACGCACGCACACACGCAAGTAGGTCTGGTACAGTCTGGTATAGGGGATACAGTCAGAAACGCGCAACGCATCATGAAACTGTTAAGTGTTACGTTAATCTTATGATGTGTTGTACCATCTCTGTCTGCATACAAATATGCACTTTAATCTGGGTACTCTTAGTTTTAAATCCCGCATATCAGAGATAGTGTATCAATCTTTGATATGTAGTGAATAGGTATATGATATGACAAAAAAAATAAAAAATTTCAGTAGGAAAATATTTCGATCATAATAGTGCTCAATTTTAAATAAAGTTCTAAAATATTTTAATATTAAGATAAAAATGAAAGTATTTTTAGTCAAATTTATAAGACTGAAAAGAGAAAAAAGAAAAACATATCAATTTGACTTTAAGTTTATTCTTGAAAATTACACGAAAATCGTCGTAAATGTTTTTTAAGTAGAAACTTTGAACTTTTATCATAAATTTTTATATCTGGTTTCAAAATGTATAAAATACAAAATGTATAATTAAATTTTTTTATTAGGAATTTCCTAAGATATTTTGCATTTTATAATATCTATTATAAAATCTATTTTGTAATATTATCATAATTGGTTTCTTTCATGACGTTACATATAAAAATATTAAAGAAAGATTATAGAAAAATTAATACTTTACAAGATATTTCATATTTTATATCAACAAATATTACAAAATCCAAAACATCTCAGGAAGTTCTTAATAAAACAGGATTTAATCAAACTATTATATTTTAAAAATAATTTCAATGTCAGCGACGAGAATCTGTAATAAAATTTAAAGGGGTATTCTCGCTTTTAGACTCCAAAAAATCGATTTTTTTTGCATTTTTTAATACTTTGAACCTTTTAGAATATATTTTTATTTGTTTTACGGCGATTTGAGTTCTCAAATTGGTCTAGAAAGTCGATAAACGCATGCGCGTCACGCAGGTATACGACCGCTCGAACGACTGACCCTTACTCTTCCAAATCTTTTGTCAAAGTGTTCTCTACAAATCTTATGTGTGTGAGTGTCCAAGAAGACTAAGGCAAACAAAAAAGAATCAGTCTGTTGCTGAAGCGTGTAGCTAACAGTCTGGTCTCGAATAGTCATCTGTTTACAAAATAATTTGCAAAGATGTGGCGACATTCACTAGAACGTAAAGGAAAGAAAGATAAGCCTGTTCATCAAGAAAGAACTGTAAAAAGAAAATTTGCAGACAATCATTTTACTAATGAAGAGAGCACTTCCTTTACGAGCACGTCTGCAGAAAAATTGAAAAAGAAAAAAGAGTGCGATATTCATATTAATCAAACTATCGGCTACTGCATATTAAATTTGGTACGCTTGGCAATGCGCTCAAGTTTCGGGAATTCAAACATTTACAACCTCTATTAAATAATAAAATTTTAGAAAATCTCTTCTAATATATTAGAAGAGCATTAAGAGCCGTCGCAGGATGTTAGTGCAAAAATTTTTAATTTTTCTTAAAGAAATTAATAAATTAGTCTATATGAGACAGTTAAATTGTACACTGATCTCAGATCGAGATACTTAGAGTGTACGAAAATTTAAGTACATTGTTCTCACATATGGAGAATCATAATGTACTAAAAGGAATTATTGGAAAGAAAGGAAGAGAGAGAAAAAATATCAGAGCGCGAGTGGCTAAGCCAGGAATTGAACCCGGGTCTTCCGCTTGCCGGGCAAATGTTCTGATCACTAAACTACTCAGACCCTACGCTTCTAACATTTATCTCTCCTAGATTAGGAAATAAACAATTTAACTGTCTCATGTAGACTAATTTATTAATTTCTTTAAGAAAAATTAAAAATTTTTGCACTAACATCCTACGACGGCTCTCAATTTTTTAACTTGGCTATAGTTCAGTCAAGAACTACAAGTGTATAGTGTGTGACGTGACGCTTTTCGAGCGCCGTCACAAGGGCGATAGCCCGGCCGAGGGAGCAAAGAGTCCTGGTGTTGCTCCTCGCGTGGAGAGAGCAACCCGCGAGACTCCACAATCTTTGCGCGTTGTTTGTATTGTCATTCCCGTTTTATGTCGTTAATATCGTTTTTTAAGTTGTAAGGCGAGACCCCGTGCGGGCGGCGTTGCGTGTTTTTGTGCCTCAGGACGAAGATGCAGCATCGCCAGGAAGACCGGACGCCGGGGGATCATCGACGGGTGTCACGCGTTAGTGACCCCACAGCAAAAGGTCAGGTACCGCGATTCCGTCGCCTCCGCCATCCAAGCCCTATCTAACTCCGCTCTGGTTTTAGCCAAAATCAAAGAAGCGCAGAGACACGCAGCAGCGGACCTTGCCCGGCTGCAGACGGCTTCGAGGGCCCCGAAGATGCTGCACTCGGAAGGACCGGAGTATGGCCCGGCCAGCCTAACCAGTCTCTTCCGAAAACATCGACTCATCGACACGCTAGCGGCCGAAGGATTTGAGAAAACCACAGTGAGCGGGGGGGGGGCGCCCTGGATGAACTGTGGGCGGTTCTCAGGGGCCCCCCTTTTCGGAAAATCGGCAGGATGCGCAGGAAGGCGACGCGGATTTGGAAAGGACCTAGATGCAGAGCCGAGAAGAGCCACTGTTCGGTGTGCCGCAAGTGCGCGAGGACGACATCCAGGACTCAGCCCGACGACACCGAAGACGCCGAAGACGTCCACTCATTGTAAGCCGCCTCTCGGGTAGCCGTAGAGTTCCGTCCGGTGATGGCTGATAGCGTGAGTTCGTTTTATATGTAGTGTCTCTCACACCATTAACCGTAGTTTTTGATACCGTGAGCGCTTAATTACGCTCAATTACCGCATGTCCAGCCGGCTCCGGATATCGCGTAACAGTCTCTCCGTCTTGCGAGAATTAAGCGCCGACATTCTCTTCTCGTTGCCGTTTCGTTTGCCGTTCGTTTTGTTACCGTACCGTCCTACCGTTACCGTTTCTTTTGAAGATACCGCTTTCTACCGTCTTTTCGTTACCTTCTCTTATTGAAAATACCGATGGTTACCGTCTTTCTGGCGATATCGTTTGTTACCGTTTTTTTGTCGCGTTATCACCGTACCGGAAGTACCGTGGGTGAGTGTCCGCGGGCGGATTTTGGTTCGGGAACGTTCTCCGCGAGATTGCGGTTACCGTAAAGTTAGCGTCTCGGCGAGAAACGGGAAAGCCCGCGAAAAATAGCCGTTCCGCGGCATCTCATTTCTGGCCGTTAGGCTACCGTCGTTTAAAGTATATTTATTTGGCCTTCACCGGCCGTATTGGATGATCAAAATATAAGTCCTTCGTTGGCTGTATATAGTCGGATCAGCGGCGAATTATCGTGATCGCGTTCCCGAGATTTTATGTAGGCATCGAACTCTATTCTTGTTACCGAATTTATAGGGCGAAGGGCCCTACCATCTTATCAACCTATTTCCGCCGTATTGGCTCCGGCCGAATAGTTTAAGCATCTTCACCCTTGTAACCAAATCACTGAAATACATCATTGTTAATTTTAATTATTGAGTTGTCCTTGCGTTAGCCTCTCACTCCAGATATCTAACGTTAACAAAGAACTGCGCCCCTCTGCCATATACTGAGCGGAGAGCGGCCGAGCAATTTTGAGAACTGTTAAAGTTACCGATACCGCGGTGCGATTACTCGCACCTGGCGCCCATTTCCGGTTACCGTTATCGCGTGAGTTACCTTGCTCCCGAATTTTGTGGAGTACCGCAAGTTACCGAATCGTGCGGTTATTGCCGATTTCGCGAGTTACCTTGCTCCCGACGAGCGTGGAGTACCGCGAGTTATCGAATCGTGCAGTTACTGCCGATTTCGCGAGTTACCTTGCTCCCGACGAGCGTGGAGTACCGCGAGTTACCGAATCGAGCATCTATTTCCGATACCGTAAGTTACCGAATCGAGCATTTATTGCCGATACCGCGAGTTACTGATTTCCATTGGGCGTGCTCCCTCGGATCTGGCGTGATTCCGAGGCTAGTTCACGTCGCAAGTGTTGTCTGATCAAACTCCACGATTCTTTTCTTTTTGAATAAAGTACGACGTTAAATGCCAGACCTAGTAAACGGCCTAACAAAATTTTTAAAAAAGGAATATTTTAACGCCGGAGCTGCTTTCCTCACGAGACATCACGAGCTCGAACCTTCTCACAGAAAAAAGTAGCAGGTGGCATCAATATTTCAGACAATCTTGGCCACTCAGTATGCCTATCGGCGCCAAGAAAGTCGTAAAAGTCGAAACTCTGCTGTAGCTGGAGTCCTCAGCTGACTCCAGATCTTTAAAAGTGAGATAAAACTGACACCGGCTAGCCCATACCCATGGATTCCAACTACGTGAACTCTATCTAATAGATAGAGTTGTACTGAGTAATGATCAAGCAATAACCGCAATCGAACGCCGAGAAGGCGTGACACTTGACACGGCGCACGTGTTCAGTAGGTCTGGGAAACCATTATATCTGGGAAATGCATTAGCCATACTCTCCACGCGACTTCAGGAGCATGCGACAGTCATAAACTGTCAAATTTATTAGATCAGTGACCCAAGGCCC